GCCGTGGGAGACGAGAGAGGAGATACAAGGTGACGCACGGGCCGCCGAGAGGAACGGCCGACGGCGGCCGCCACTCAAGGCCGCCGACGTCGGGACAAGGCGACGCCCCGCAAGGGTCGAAACGTCGCCAGGGGCCCGGCCGCCCGCCGTGGAGGGAGGAAGAAGCTACCGGGTGACGGTAGAGCCGCCGAGAAGCCGGCCGACGGCAGCCGGGGACGAGCAATCGGCATGCCAAAATTGAAGAAGCTGCTCCTTCGGCAAGACGGGCTACGACCACCAGCATGAAATGCTACGTGGAATGCACAGATAAAAGTGAAGCTGGTGTAGACCAAATACAATGGGACTGACGTCATCCCAGTAGCAGGGGTGGCATCGTGTATATAAGGAGGAGCAGTGAAGAGAATAATTTGAAGAAACGCAGTCACACGCGAGACTTCACACGTAAAGGCAGGATGAGCGAGATAGTAGATGTGAGTGCGAACTGCGAATGGAGCAGCGAGGATAGTAGCAGCGAGGATAGTAGCAGCGACAGTAGCAGCAGTACCAGCGACTATACCGGCGGGGCCGGAGAGGAGGCGGAGACTGCTTCCAGCCCCCGTCCGCGGACGCCGGGTCGCGACTGCTCGCCGTGCCCCGACCCGGCAAGCCACCCCTCGCCCGCCGTGATGGCATGGGCGAGTAAGGTGCTTGCCGAGGGAGGTGGCCCGGCGGGAGAGGAGGAGGCGGTCGCCGCGCCGCGGCGCGGAGGGCTGGCGGCCCTCCTCGCCCCCGCCGTATTCTCAGCCATCGACGGGACCGCCGTCCCCATTCCGGGAGAGACGGCCGGCGAGGGGGCCGTCGAAAAGATGGCGGTCAGCACCCCGGAGGGTGCCGCCTGCCCCTCGCCGCCCGCCGACGACCACCACGGGATGCCGCCGTCGTCGCCGCCGCAGTCCGCCGATGAGGGTGAGATGACGGCAACCTCGGCGGCCCAAGCGAAGGCAGAAGAGGGGCGCCAGGAGCAGCGTCGGGAGCGCCGCCGAAGACAGGCGGCGCAGGATGCCGCCGCAGCAAGCGCCGCCGAGGAGGCCCGCCTGACGGAAGGGAGGCGGAGGAAGGCGTTGAAGGCGCGCTACCGCCGGGAGAGGGCCCGAGCGAGGGTGACGACCCGAGAGGCGGCGGCCGCAGCGCCGCCCTCATCAACGCCGCCGGACCCGTCACCCGCTCGTGCGCTCCCGGCCGCCGTGAGCGCGCCGCCGGCGAAAGCCTCCGCTTCCGCAATTCCGCCCGCTGTCAGGACATCGACGGCGGGGCACGCCGATACCGCTGCCGCCCGATGGGGGCCCGGCGCACGCCCGGGGCGGCACCTTTTTGGGTGCCGCACTCCAGGCGGGGCCGTGGGGTCCGGTCGCTGGCTTGGTGCCTGGCCTGCGACCGCCCCACGCTGCACGCACGTGCCCATGACGCGCGAGCTGCATACGCGTCGTACCCCCCTGGGCCGGTAGTGCTGTGCCCTATCGGCGGGTGCGACTTCCGGTGTCCGGCGGGGGTCGAGCATCGGCTGGCGCGGCACCTCCGGGAGCGGCCCCATAGCAAGCGGAGCGACTACCGGCGGGAGCAATGGGTGCGAGTGCCCGACGGAGATAACCCGTCGTTTCGGGTGACTTCCGTCGGGTAGCTGCGCGGCCCCGCCGACGCGCCGGCTTCCACCCGGACGACGACCGTGCTTCAAGCGACGGCCGAACATCGCCGTCCCATCGAGTGCGCGGCGGTCCGGCCGTGCTCCGTCGTCATGAGACGGACCGTGCTCCCCCGACGCCCGGCGCAGGCACGGAGCGGCGGCAAGGGAGACGGAGACCGACCGGCGGCCCCGACGACAATCCAGGCGGCGGCCCCGACGACGATCCAGGCGGCGGCACCGACGACGATCCAGGCGCCGGCCCCGAAGACGATCCAGGCGGCGGCCCCGACGACGATCCAGGCGCCGGCCCCGACGACGATCCAGGCGGCGGCCCTGACGACGGTCCGATCGGCGGCCCCCATAGCGACGGCAATCCAGGCGGCGGCCCCGACGACGAGCCGACCGGCGGCCCCGACGACGATCCAACCGGCTGCTCCCCCGAGAGCCCTCGCAGCAGCAGTGACGGCGGGCCTGGCGGCAGCGGCAACGGCGACTCCCGCGCCACCCGGCACGGCCTTCGAGCCAATGGTGATCAACGCGGAGATTCGCGGGATGTCGCGGGACACCCTCCGCCAGGCGGACATCATCAACCGCCACCTGCTGCTGCGGGTGTGGAAGACCGGCTGGTTGATCGACGATGAGNACACACACACACACACACACACACACACACACACACACACACACACACACAAACAAACACGAACACACATGTATACACGTATCACCTTAGATATAGAATACAGATGTATTCTATATCTATGGTATGACCTATACACACATGCGCAAACACAGACACGGGCGCGCACTTGCACGTTGTCACGCACACACACGCACACGCGCACTCACACATATACACATTCACCATGCGTTGGGCGTACATGCAAAGAATTATCATTGACTGGCAGATGTTACTGTCTTGCTACAGGTATTATGAAAAAAATGAACAAAAACTATTCATCATGAATATCAATTCTAATTTATGTTACAGTTTCCTATCACGAGATTTTTAGATTCTCTGCTTGACATAAAGATTAAAAACCACAGAGACTGTCTCTAACCACTGAACTAACCTATATGCAATGTGCTTCGAAGCAAGCCATGTACTTATCTGTCGGTAATTGCTGTTGTGGTCGCATCATCAATGGATAAGAACAAATCGAAAATTCGTTTAATTCTTATATTATAGATATAAATATATAATAATATCAGATCGAGTACTTGAATAAAGACTAAAATCACGACTCATAATAATATAATATTTGCTATACTCGCACACACGCACGCACAGACTCACACATATATACACATTCACAGGCAAACAATTGTAAATGAGTTTGGCGAACATGTACCGAATTGTTCTTGACTGACAGATGTTACTGCCTTCCTACTGGTAATATAGAAAACGTTGACCAAAAACAATTCATCATAAATAAGAATTATAACTTATGATACAGTTTCTCATCACAAGAATTTTAGATTCTCTGCTTAACCTGGAGATTAAAATACACAGAGACTGTCCCTAACCACTGAACTAACCTATGCAATATGTGCTTCGAAACAAGCCATGTACTTATCTGTCGGTAATTGCGGGTGTGATCGCATCATCAATGGATAAGAACAATTCGAAACATCGTTTAATTATCATATTATAGATATAAATATATAATAATATCAGGAGTACTCGAATAAAGACTAAATTCACGACTCATAATAATATAATATTTGCTATACTCGCACATACGAACGCGCACACACGCGCACGCACGCACGCACGCACGCATCCACGTACACACGCACGCACGCACGCACGCACGCACGCACGCACACACAGACTTACACATATATACACATTCATAGGCAAACAATTGTAAATGAGTTTGGCGAACATGTACCGAATTGTTCTTGACTGCAGATGTTACTGTCTTGCTACTGGTAATATAGAAAACGTTGAACAAAAACAATTTATCATAAATAAGAATTTTAACTTATGATACAGTTTCTCATCACAAGAATTTTAGATTCTCTGCTTAACCTGGAGATTAAAATACACAGAGACTGTCCCTAACCACTGAACTAACCTATCCAATGTGCTTCGAAGCAAGCCATGTACTTATCTGTCGGTAATTGCGGGTGTGATCGCATCATCAATGGATAAGAACAAATCGAAAATTCGTTTAGTTATCATATGATAGATATAAATATATAATAATATCAGGAGTACTTGAGTAAAGATTAAAATCACGACTGCTAATAATATAATATTTACTATACTCGCACACACGTACGCACACACACGCACGCATGCACACACACACGCACGCACGCACGCACGCACGCACGCACGCACGCACGCACGCACAGACTCACACATATACACATTCACAGGCAAACTATTGTAAATGAGTTTGACGAACATGTACCGAATTGTGCTTGACTGCAGATGTTACTGTCTTGTTACTGGTAATATGGAAAACGTTGAACAAAATCAATTCATCATAAATAAGAATTCTAACTTATGATACAGTTTCTCATCACGAGAATTTTGGATTCTCTGCTTAACCTGGAGATTAAAATACACAGAGACCGTCTCTAACAACTGAACTAACTTATGCAATGTGCTTCGAAGTAAGCTATATACTTATCTGTCGGTGATTACCGGTGTGGTCGCATCATCAGTGGATGTTTGGTTTCCTTCACGGCTTAAAAAACAATTAGAAAAATTGGTTAGTTATCATATTATCAAGAGCTAATAAATACCTGTGTTTATTAGCTCTTGATATTATAGATATAAATATATAATAACATCATGAGTACTTGAATAAAGACTAAATTCACGACTCCTAATAACATCATATTTACGTACTGTACTCGCATACACGCACGCGCACACACACGCGCACGCACGCACGCACGCATCCACACACCCACGCACGCATGCACGCACGCACCTCATAATGATCTTATTGGGATATCGAAGACGGAAAGAGACAAGGTTGGTCGAATAGAAATATCAACATTGCGGATTGCAGTAGAAAAAGGTTCAATTACGCAATTAACCAGCAAAGAAGGTAGAGAATTTCAATATGGAATGACAGAAACGAAAAAGCTATACTCAAAGATGAAGATGGTACATGTCGAAAGCAATGATCACGCGCGGACGATCGAGTACGATTAATAGGCTTAATAAAACCAGATGTCTTCATTAAATAATAATAAGTAATCATAATGTATTGTATTATAGCTATGACCAGAATTCTAATGAATTTTAATTATAATTTTAGATAACAGGGGAAGGAATTTTACGTAGGGCAAAGTGAGACTGGACACACTAGATGGCGCCACGATAGCGTATTCCTATCCGATTGTCAATGTTTACTGTTTTCTAGTTCGATCTTACTCTTAGTATCTATACCAAATAAATCATCGAGAAATGGCAGGTCAGGCGTGGCAGATGGACAATCCTGAGCTTTTGCAACAGGTATAATTATAACCTTAACCCTAACCGGGTATAATATTATAACTGTGTACTGTGTAGAACCTAAGCCAAGAAGTTAAAGAACGGCCCATCCCAACTCGTTTACCTAGGAGTCGTACGTCGTTACCATCAAGTTACACCTCGTTACCTTCAAGTTACACCTCGTTACCATCAAGTTACACCTCGTTACCTTCAAGTTACATCCCGTTACCTTCTCGTTACCCCTAAACCTCATAACATCGTATAGATTATCAATATCATTACTCATTAGTATTCAAAGTCCGTGGGACTATATCAAAGAAGAAGAGAGATTAAAGCCGCACTATGCGCATCCAAACGCTAATTTCTCCAGTACTAGACTAGCAAATACTTGGTGTCATGCATAATCACACTACCTTATGACAAAATAAACTCTAGTTCCTCCCATTTCACTGCGCATTGTCTTATAAAAGGCATTTGAAAATACCTCCAATGTTGTTCAAATTCTCCGATGTTGTTGACAATTTCGCGTTGCTCTGCCAAGCAACCGTGGAGCGGTGCTGCGGTACGGGTGTAGCAAAGATAAAAACATGTGACGTCACCTAACCGATTCTTGGCGAAATTGTTTGGCATACAATTTAGCGTTGGCGCCAGATTACCAGATTTCGCACCTCTTTCTTGTGGGTTTTAAGCAAACACGCACTGAAATGGGAGGAACTAGAGTTTATTTTGCCATAAGGTAGTGTGATTATGCATGACACGATGTATTTGCTAGTCTAGTACTGGATAAATTAGCGTTTGGATGCGCATAGTGCGGCTTTAAGTTGATCAAATAGACAGATCAACACTGCAGATCACAGTGAAAATCTCACTAAGTGAAACAATTGTAGAGCCCGCTCAGGCAGGCGTCAGACGTCAGACGTCACTTCTCGCCATGTAGTGAGAAGCGAGAAGGTAACATGTAGCTTTATTAAATAAAAGCCGTTAACCCTAACATAATCCTTAATCTTTCTCTGCCCTTGTATCCATTTGGTTTTGGAATTTTCTCCACCAGATTTTGCCCACAACCTGAGCCTGTCTATGCATGGTTAATTTGTGGAATATACAGGAAAGCTGTTATATACGAAATGACGAAGTGTTGTTGATGGTCGAAGATAAAGCTTCGTGCTCCACATTACAATATGAAATTTTAATGTAGTGTATAGAAGAATAACTCAGCTATCAAATAAATGAATATGTGCTTGCATATTACATTCACTGTAAAGTTGGCACTGTGGGCCGCTGTCAATTGTACTGTATACTTTAATAATTATATAAATAAACATGCTGCTTGTTTCCTTTCAGATTGCTCTGATAGGATATCTAAATAAGACGGAAGGAAGTGAAAAGTTGTTGAGCATTATTACTAAGGCCAGGGTGTTTACCGAAGTATACAACCGAGTGACTGGACAGAGGGAGATTGATGCAGCCAGGGTGAGTATGAATATGAAGTTAACATCTGCATATTTAATTATATTAAAATCACATTGCCAAACCTCTAACAATATTACTTTTCTCTTTCCAGGAGGCATGCATACTAGCAATTGTTGACTATATAAAGAAGCATCCACGTGCATCAAAAGATGAAATGGCAAAAGAGATTCAGAAGCAAGTACAGAATTTTGCCATTATTGTCAAAGCTTTATCCTAGTTTCTGACACTTTATGTAAAAATATTTAAATACTATTTTAAACATGATAGCCTATATATACTGTGTCTGTGTACTGTAACCATTACATTAAAAATCGTTACTATGAGAGTTATACTACACTTATAATATAACCCTATATCACGTTTAGTGTTAATTTTATCATCAAAAATATAAATTTAAACTTTAAAGAAATCTTTTTGCTTTCATCTTCATCAGTCTGTAGATTATATTATAGAGGGTGATTTCAGTAGTTTAGATTATAGTTAATACATTCATGAATTTATATTTTCGCGTAGCCATTCATTAGTAAAAAATGTATTTTTAATCACTATCTGTAATCACAAAATCAAAGTAATTATATAAATCAGTTTACACGTAATATATGTAGTAAACCAGTGTGTATTTGATATGGTAACAAGGAATAAAACTTCAATTTGTACATAAACCCTACATACAACATGTATAGATGTACTTGACATTTCGTAACTATATGTACCAGCCTTTACCCTGCAAAACGTTGGCACTAAAATCAGTATTTTGCAACATATGCAAGCAGGCACGTATAGCTGTAAATGTTTAAGTGAAATGTAAATCCTTGCCTACTGCACCACGGTATACCATTTTGTAAGTTTCAAGGTGTAGAACACATAACAAAGTGTACAGAAAATATTATGTAAATACAGCAATACAACAACAGCACTAAAAGCTGACCACTTGTGACAAGGAAGACACAAATTTGTTTCCTACATCATTTTTTTAATAGGAGGTACCCTAGCTTTAATTGCCTTTAGGAGAAACTTAGTGAATCGATTCTGTAATCTTACACAGAATACAAAGCAGCAGGTACATGTATAAATAAAAAAATCTATCTTCATGTTCACAAAACGATTTGACGTTTAATATAACATACATGTTGAAATATGACTAGTATAAGTTGAGGAGCAAAGCTCTCAACTCATTTCCACTCATGAGAAAACCTGAAAGTCACTTGCTATAGCAACAATACCACTAGCACCAGAAACCAATAATGAATATTTAAGAATTTAGTGTCAATGGTACTGGTTTCAAGCTCAACTGTACGAGTTTGATGCAATATGAATGTATTTACGTTGATATTGCGATTAACATTGACTCTATATGATCATATTAATTTTACTCTGGTTCTAAGTCACCGGTACACATGGGAAAAAAACAAAGACTGCACCCTAGAATTTACCTATCTGTCTGAACATGACAGCCATGCTCCCCTTACCCCGGACATTGCTGCTAGGTTGCTCAAGCTAAACCAGTTTACATTGTATTTTCACACGTGCTCGACATATTGTCGACTTTGTGAGATTTCGTTGTCAACCATTATCTAGAACAACCCTACCACAGCAACAATTTGCTACAGCTGCCTGTCGAACATGCTAGGCAGATAGGTATAAGGTAAATCCAGAGCACATGCCAACATCGAGGATCGGCTGCCATCGATCCACCCTCAACGCGTAAGGAAACTTAGACTGAGTAGTAGCCTTGCATCGAACGTGATGTCAAGTCAGTAAGAATTATAAATCCTGCATGGATTACAACAACGATTCGCTACAGCTGTCTATAGTCACGCGGGACAGACACATCAACCCAGAGCGTGTGCCAACAATGATGATCGACCACCATCGATCCACCCTCGATGTGTACGGAAGCTTAAAAACACAGTAGTAGTAACCGTGGTCCATAATCAACTCGCCTCTCTGGCAAACTCGACCAGTGTGTCGAGTTTACCCGCCTGGAGGTCGCCCAGCTCGGCTCGTAGGTCGAGATGACCCACCTGGAGATCGGGCAGCTCGACTCACGGGCTAAAACTCATGTGAGATTGAAAATTGAGATTGATCATGTGTGACAAAATTATGTTCTACGCATAATAAAAGGTTGTTCCCACAAAAATACCACACACTTATATTTATAGACAAGTACATCAACCATCTTAACAAACCAGACAGAAATTATCACCTACCGTATCTTGCAATTATTGCACTCAAATCAAGTAAATTTTATTATTTAGGTCAACACTATTGCATCCATCAGATTTGTTCTCCATGTAAAAGACTACTTTCATGCCACAATTAAAAAAATATTTGTTTGCCCTCACCCGACCCAGGCTGAAAAGTTTGGGTAGGTAGGTAGGCTTTTTTTTGAGGGGGGTCTTTTTTACAAATTCAGCATGGTGTCTACATGCTCAGGTGTGCTTGTGTGCAGATACCTTTTATGTTGAATGTTTGTTTTGCTTGATCAATAAAATTTTTTGAGTCGTCCCCTTTTTGGCGGGTCGGTCGGGTGAGGGCAAACAAACAATATTTTTATTATGGCCTCAGTACATGTATTTGTAAGCGAATTATATGCAATAAAGATTTAATAATATTGAAAATAGACGTTTTGACGTCGGAATGTGTAAAACATCTTAAACTAGACAGAGGGCACTCACGGAGAGTGCATACCTCCGCCAGCGACATAGCTTGTAGCAGCCGCTCGTTGCTGCTGCTTGCTCACATGTACACGCTTGACTCGACGCGCTAATATCGATCGCGCCAACACACTAACACACTAACACTGACTGGCCTGCTGCTGGCTACACGAACACACTGACACACGACCGCACGAGACCGATCACATAACTTCCCCTCCAACTCCGTTGGGCGGAGGTAATGAGTTGGCCGGTGAGTCGAGCTGCCCGACCTCCAGGCTCGTCATATTACCCACGAGCCGAGCTGGCCAACCTCCAGGCGGATAAACTCGCCACAATGTGAGCCGAGTTGGTGGGTGGGTCGAGTTAACTGGTGCCCGTAACCTTGCATGAATCAATGCATCGCACGTGACGTCAAGTCAATCATAATTGTTATCTCACATGGAACTTCCAGACTACAACAACGAATCGCTAGAGCTAACTCTAGTCACGCGGGGTGGACACATCAACCCAGAGCGCATGCTCCAATCATGCGCTCGCCTGCTCCTGCCGCCCAATCACGCGCTCGCCTGCTTCATCCGCCCAATCACACGTTCGCTGCTCCGCCTTCTCCTGCAGCAGCGAATCCTGCAGCCACCTGATGCCGTCGCCCAATCACGCGCTCACCTCCCCCATCCGCCCAATCACGCTCGCCCAATCACGCGCTCACCTCCCCCATCCGCCCAATCACGCACTCGCTTGCTCCGTCTTCTCCTGCAGCAGCGAATCCTACAGCCACCTGAGGACGCTGCCGACGCTGTCACCCAATCACGCACTTGCCTGCTCCGTCTGCCCAATCACGCGCTCGATTGCTCCGCCTTCTCCTGCAGCAGCGAATCCTGCAGCCACCTGATGACATCGCTGACGCCATCGCCCAATCACGCGCTCGCCTCTCCCATCCGCCCAATCACGCGCTCGCCTCTCCCATCCGCCCAATCACGTGCTCGCTTGCTCCGCCTTCTCCTGCAGCCACCTGATGACGTCGCCGACGCTGTCGCCCAATCACACGCTTGCTTGCTCCATCTGCCCAATCACGTGCTTGCCTGCTCCATCCGCCCAATCACACGCTCGCTTGCTCCGTCTTCTCCTGCAGCAGCGAATCCTGCAGCCACCTGACGACGTCGCCGACGCCGTCGCCCGTCCTCGCGCTCGTCTGCACGACGTCGACGCGGCGGCCGGCATGGCGGCGCACGTCGTCAAGCATGATGAGAGCGGCGAGCTCGCGCGCGCTCATGCACGCCGTGTCGCGCTTGTTCATCACGATGAGCACGCGCGCGCTGCGCGGCAGCTCCGGCGACGACAGCGCGTCGGTGAGCTGCACGCACGCGGCGGCGACGCGCGCGCGGTCGCTCAGGTCGATCGCGAACATCAGGTGCCGGCAGTCGCGGTAGTAGTTGTGCCAGATGGGCGCCATGCTGCCACCGAGCTCGCGCACGGTGATCTCGCTCTTCTTGCCGAGCGAGACGTTGACGAGGTTCGTGCCAACCGTCGGCACGGTCGGCGGCACGTCGCCATCGCCGACGTCTCGCGTCGTCGCGTGCAGCATGAGACGCTTGAGCAGGAGCGTCTTGCCGCCGCGCGTCGGCCCCACGATCAGATACATGGTCGCCGCCGCTTCGGGATCGCCCGGCTCGCTCACGTGTGAGAAGCGCACGCACGGGCAGGCGGTCTTGCCGCACCACACGACATCCTTCAAGCGATCTTGGCTCTTGGTCATTTACTAGAAAGGCAAACAAATAAATAAATTAGAACTGCTAAGAGACAAGGCAGTCATAAATTAAGTAGGCGTATCTTACACAACACAAGTTACAGAGCTACGTTGCGTTTAAAATCTACATCACTTGTCAATCATAAAATCTACATAACCTCATATAGTCATAAGTGTTAATCTTCAAAAGTCCTGGGGACTATAACGAAGATGGAGAGAGAAGTGGATCAAGTCGGTAGATCCACACTGCGGATCGCAGCGGAAAAAGTTGTAAATTTGCTATTTACTAAGGATGAAGGCAGTGAATTCCAATACGGAATCACAGAGACAAAGAAGCTAAACTTAAGGATCCTTAGAAGTTTGGGGCCCAAGGATAGAGAACATGGGTCTCAATAAAACCAATGTGCCTAACCCTAACCCTAACCCTAATTATATTATATTTATATTGATGTAAATGACATTGGTTTTATTGGGACCCATGTTCTCTATCCTTGAACCGAAGTTTGTACATGCCGAAAACAGTGATCACGCTCAGATGAGCGGGTGCAGCAAACAGTATTCATTAAGGCTTACATCACTACATCTTATAGTTGCCACGTTTTATCCATGAAATATAATAGTAAATGATATAAACCATTTTTAAAGAGGTATTTACCATTTCAACGAGCCTGTGTTGGATCTGTCTAAATCGGCGATACACCGAAAAAAACAACAAATATAGCGAGAAAGTTAGCGCACGATAAGAAGTCGGTCATAACAATAAAACCAGCCGCCGTACCATGATTATATTCATAATCATACTACCAGTACCAGTCACCAGTCGAGTTGTTGACGTTTCAGTGTTTCTTGCGCGCGGGTAGTGATTTTTTTCTAGTGTCGAAATACGTTATCTCGACGAGAAGGTAACTAATTTAGAAAATGAAATAATAGAGGAGATTACAGATAAAGACGAATGAATGCACGACGACTTTGGTGCTAACTAACTTTACGGAGCGTCCACCAGAGGACGCGACCGATAGTTATATACGTGTCTAGAAACGAACACCTGAGAACTACTCTCGGTAGTGTTACGTGTAGGAAGTAAGTTTAGATGAGCATGGGATAATTACCGTTAATAATTACAATATCAGTACGACACTACCACTCTGCCTACTATATTGAGTGACACTAACCCTACTTTGTTTTACTGTAACTGCGACAGTGTCATGTGTGTACAGTGTATATAGTTTGTAGCATTATAAGTTATAACACTTATTACAAACAATTGAAACATATGTTCGCAAGTTTATGTACTGTATTAATACGTATTATGTCATAATGTATTCGGTAATCTACGCGCACTACTAGCCGTAAAATAGGAAACATTTTCGACGTTAAACCCGTTCACATAATTGGTAGGTAATCAGGATACAAGTGTTCCTCCTCTTCCCAAAGCCATATGTAATTACCTTTGCTGGCTGTGTTTATATAATACAGTCTTACTTACGCTGAAGGGGTCGTTGTCGTATCAGGTACTATATACAGATATGTACCCGAGGTACATATATGGGTTCAAGGATAGAGAACATGTATCCCAATAAAACCAATGTCATTTACATCAATATAAATATAATATTATATCAATATAATAGGTTAGGGTTATGGTTAGGGTTAGGGTTAGGGTTAGGGTTAGAATTAGGGTTAGAATTAGGGTTAGGGTTAGGGTTAGGCACATTGGTTTTATTGGGATACATGTTCTCTATCCTTGGGCCCATATATGTATACAAAAAGTGTACCAGACTTGTACTACAGAAGTGTACCATAACCCTGACCCTAACCCTATAGCCCTAACCCTAACCCTAAACATACCTCATATAAAAATATAAATAATACTAAACAACCTAAAACTACCTCGGGTACATATCTGTAGTACCTGATACGACAACGACCCCATCTGCCTTACTTACTGAGTGAGGTGTGTATTGTACGTCACTACATGCCCCATACCAAAATGGGTAACCAAAGTAGGAAAAAATGTACGGGCAGGTTACGAGAAGGAGAAGGAAGGAGAGAAGGAGAAAGCAGGGCAGTGTTATAGGAGTTAGTAGAGAGATAGTAGAAGATTGGGGTGAAGGAGAAGGTAGGGGAATAAGATGAACTTGAGTTGAGAAGGGAAAGAAAGCAATACAGGAGGAAAAAGGAGTTGGTGGAATGTTGAACTAGAAGGGGAAGAGAGGAGTGTGATGTAAGCTAGGGCTGAGGAGAAGCTACATGGAAGTGATGAAGAAGATAGAACAAAGAGACAAGGTCAATCAGGGAATGGTGAAACGTCAATTAAATGCTAAGTGGCATGTGTCGAGGGGTCTCAACTAATTATTTTTACCATATGGTATGTATAACTGTTGCTGAGATGCTATATAGTATATATTATGGCACGTGTAAGTAATCATTATCCTTTCTGTTTTCTCAGTCATGTGCGTGGTTAGTCGTGTGATTTTATTGATGTGCTTGCTCCTACCGGTGCTGGGCCATCAAAATGTCAATCCAATGAACGCACAGAAGCAGCCGCAGCATGCGCACGGTCGTAACCAGCCCGCCCAGCAACAACCGATTGCATCTAGACAGCACCCACCAACACGACTTGATAGGCAACATGTACAGGATGCTAGGTATGCATACGTTATTAATTAGAGACCTCATATAATGTTAAAGCAAAAGGTTGCAGCAAAACCTTACTGTATAGTGTTTATAGAATCACTGACTATATAGTGCGTGTGCGGCCCGGCCCGTGTGCGGTATCGAATTATATGAGCAGGTTGTATCTGTCTGGTTAATTGTGCGATCAGGTAATAATTAGTCTTCTTTCTATGAAGCCAAGTCTAGAAGAATAAAAAAAACTTGTATATTTTAGATCATTATAATTTTACAAAGATTAATTTAATAAATTTCTCTAATTTGATTTCGGAAGGGACACATGCAGGCTCGTATATACAAATCGTAATATACGTTTTCCTTGTAAATTTGCATATTACTAGTAACAGTAATGAGTACACAAATACATATTTGCTTATTTATAGCCATATCAAAGAGCACACAGATAACGTCATAGAGAAAGACCCAAAGGACATGACTGAGCAGGAGTTGCAGTTTCATTATTTCAAACAACATGACTTGGATAACAACAATCAGTTGGATGGGTTGGAACTCGTTCATGCACTCACTCATTTTCACTCAGGTATGTGACCTTATATGTGCTTGTGAATTTTGGTGTTCATTTAGTATTTGTTGTTAAAAAACAGCCATAATAACTGAACACCAGAGTTATGTATTATATGTACATTATTATTATATATATTGTTGCAGGTTGTAAACTTTAAAGTTCTATAAACTTACAGGCAAAAAATTATCCCTTACATTTGATCTATTGGAAGATGTGTTTTTCCTCTACAGGATTTTGGTATATGTGTATGCAATGTTCTTCAGGAGCTTATATCATGTAAATAGAGGATTTGCATTATATATACATATATATATATATATATATACAGGGTGCGAAATTAATGGGAGTCCGGAGTCAAATACTCCCTGATTTACTGCCGGACTCCCTGATTTGATATTTGCAGGAGTCCGTGTGACTCCCTGAAAATTCTGCTATACTAACTATTTTGATCCAGTCTTCCAGAGCACGGCCTTGCGGAATTACCGTATTTTTTCAGTAAAAGTTCAAAGAAGATTTGGCAGACGTGCAACCGCATGAATCTTCAAAATAAGCACATGTATGCGTTATTGTTAATATCGTTAGTTTTGAACTTCAGACTGCGGACTCCATCATTTTGCTGCGGACTTCGTGATTTTGAGGGCAGGAGCATATGAAAGTTGGACTCCCTTGTTCTAAAGTTAATTTCTACCCCTGTATATATATATATAATATTATATATAGTCATCACGGGAACTTGATGTAAACCCAAGTAACTATTAATTATGCAAAGAGATTGGTGACATTTTTATCTGAAATTTGTTGGTGTACTTGCACCATGAATAGATAGATATACCATGAAAGTATAATTGTTATTGCGAAATGCCTCCAGCTTGTCAGTAGTATTGATATGTAGTAGAACCAAATTTTCCCATGGCAGTAATACTGCATTTCCTTCTTACTTTTCGCTGATAACATAATTGTATATATAAATTAATCAGAACTCGATAATTTGCTGTTACATCACACATTGCTAGCTACATTCAGACTTTTAACTTACATTTTATATTATTTAATAACTGGTACAGTTATATTCCAATGTTTGAATTGCTTTGATACAAAACTATTTGCTTAACAGCACAATGTGCCCCTGCTATCTTCCACTTCGTACTGCATCCATTTATATAAGCCGCGTTCACACGTAGCAAGAAATCCGGTATTTAGCGTTCACACGAGGCAGAATACGAGGCCCAAGAAATACGGTATCTAAACAGATCCGGTATTTCATGTAAATACGAGGCTTCCCAGAATCCGAATAATTTGCCGTGCTTGAGAAATACCGGATTTCTTGGACCGCGCATTTCCTCGTGTGAACGCTAAATACCGGCCACGTATTTTATAGACTGGTCCGCGCTCGACAGTTCCAGTGTAACACGAGTGGAACTGTCGAGCGCGGACCAGTCTACGTATTTTATGGACAGTTGGTTTGCATTGCATTGTTTATTTCGCATTGTTTGCTTGATTGTTTAAAGCAGCTCGCAGCTCGCAAATACCGTATTTCTGGAGCCGCGAATCAGCGTGTGAACGCTCGGTCGCGTATTTGTCTCAGATACGGTATTTCGCAAATCCGGTATTTCAGAAATACGAGGTCTCGTGTGAACGAGGCTATAGCTATATAGATCAGAGGTTAATAATGACATTTATTGCCTTTTCTGTACCCTACCCATTATGGTAAGTTTTGGCGATAAAATAATGGCCTGAGAATTTGCCTTCTGCCATCCTTGTAAACAGGGATAACAGAATATAAATAATTGTTACGAAATGCTCCATATCTCTTCATGCTTAATTATAAACACACATGCATGCACACACTAGTGACACTACACTGGCAAATGCTGCACTTTGACCATTGAAATGCGACCATTGTAACATGATTATTATTCTAACCATAGAAATTTGGTGACTTTTGTTCAGATAACCCAAATGAGGTACCACCTCCGTTTCCCGAAGATGAACTCATTGGTCTTATAGACGACATATTGAGGGAAGATGATCTTAATAACGATGGCTTCATTGACTATATGGAGTTCATAAAGTCTCAAGCAAATCAGCAGCAGCAGCAAGTTCAACAACAACAGCAGCCGGTACAACAACAGCAACATCAGCAACAACAGCAGCCGGTACAACAACAGCAACATCAGCAGCAACAGCAGCAACAACATCAACCACAACATCAGCAACAGCCACATCATTAACAGCAGGTGAATCAAGGAAAGCTAACAGTGTAAAAGGTAATGGAAAATCTTAGAAATTGGTTATGTAGTGACCGCAGCTCTTCTAGTATGGTTGGGCTTGCACGGGCTCTACACGCATGCTACATGAGGAGTAGGAAGGTGCTGAGATATGCTGGGTTTTAAAAAACAAGCTATTTGAACCATCTTTCTGAGATGCAAGGGCAAACGCATGCTATTTCAGCCTGTCTTTGTCATGCTTACTTAAGAAAATATCCAAGGTCATCTAGACTTGCCTACAGGTGTCTCTAGTTGTTCTACCGTGTATCCATATATCCTAATTCATCTGAAGTGTTCGGCATCTGGATATTTCACAGCTTTGTATTATTTTACACTTCCTGTCAGGCGCGATGTCTTTTACTAGTTTTACATGTACGCCACCAGTTTGGTATAATGTAAACTAGAACACACAGTTCTGTTTACGTACATATAGATCTGATAGCAACTGTTTTGCACCTGGCAAGCTTGTAATTTTATCTGCTCACAGTAGTTAATGTTTTGTTACAGTGGAACTCGTTTATGAATTGTTAGCAATACCAACTGGTTTATGTTCACCAATGTCTCACGTTGTATACTTAGTTTCACTAAGGAACTTTAGTGTTCATGTTGAGTTGTGGTATAAAACACAACACAAATTTATAAAAGGCAGTTGACAACCAAAAATAAATCAAGGGAGTGATTTCAGTTATTTTTTATGACATAGTGTGTTGGACTTACGGAGGAACATTTTTGTCAGATTTGACCTAGAATGATTATTTCTATTAAAAATGTATTAAAATTGGCAAACATTTGCACAATATATAATCTCTACTGATGTAAGAACAATAGAGCTTTTAGTCCAAGAGGAGAAGTTTACATTCTTTTATTTTTTCGCATTCTAGAAAGCACTGGAAGGTTGTAGCTAGCAAAGGCCGAGCATATTGTTGCCCATGATTTTTTAAGTTATGCACTAAAATTTCAAATCACTTAAAACAATTAAAGTGCTTAGAATTTCATTCCTTGTTTAATATGAATCTCTCAGAGATCGGCAAACTAGCTCTGTGATCCAAGTTAGGATAGTAGTTTAGCTATGGAAGAACGCTTCATTGTCGCATTTTGTGGCACATGCGTATGTTGCCCGGCAAGGCTGTGCGATTAGCAGGTGCTAGTGTGAACACACGTACTATAATTACGGTACATGTACGTGTGTTACGCACGTAACTTGTTAGACGTCTCTTGGGAGACTGCTCATTGTATAAGTAATAAGCTGTATTAGATAGCTAGAGCGATACTCTTGCTTTCCTGTTTCGATGAGCGGCGAAAGTGCCGTCGCAATATGTTTCCCGTCTCTCACACACTCTGCCCGCTCTACACTGCTTTGAGCTGAAATTGTCTTCCGTCATCCCCCGAGGCAAGTGACATCGCCGGTGTCATTTGATGGGGGAAACAATCCAAGCAATGTCACCAATACGTTTGCAGATACTTGCATCCGTGGAGTGGCTGTCATAATCGTCATTTGCCGCACAGTGACATTTTTACGACCCCCCACCACCCCTTTCTGCCGTACTGCTATTGTAATGGAGCTACTGTTACTGGGAAGGACGAAGATACACGTGTTGTGTATCTGGTTGAAATTCGTCGGCGAATTTACTGTGGTGTGCGTCGTCGCGCGCACCTGTTGTCACGAGGCGAATTGATGTCGTGATTTACGTGTTGTTTGTCACACTCGCACTTGACATTCAGCGCAGGCCCATCCTTCGAGTTGTAGACATAATAGATGGATTAATTGTGGTAAACCGACCCGCCGCCAAGGGATTCGCGGAAAGTGCGTTTGAGAATGCGGGAGGTAGGGCGGAATTAAATTGATGAGGTGTCAATGTAGCGTGCCGAGAATAAGGCTTGGTCAATGGAAACTAATGGTGAGCTGGGTGGAATAACGACATCAATGCTACGTCACGCATGCAGCGACGGAAATAGTGATGTTTTCTAAAGTCTGTATATTTTGTACTGATTATACCCCCACCGTTCACGTTTTATAATAAACTGTTGCTATGATGACACGTGCATTTTTTTTGAAGTTTTTATCTGCGATATCATGGTTCTGTATGCAGATTTCACAATTTTCATGTACGACGTGTAAACTGGTAGTAAACTAACGTCACAATTCAGCATTCATGCGAAAATATAATGCATCATCACCATATCGCGCAGGCTACCTAAACATTTTCGCCGTGATCTTTTCCCTATACAAACCACGCGATGTCAAATTAGAAACACTATAAAGTAGAAGTTTCAATATTTGATTAACATTTGTACTATTCGTTGCTCACTTACCGGTGTCGCTCTGTTGTAGACAGGCGCGAAGTCGTCTCACTCGTGCATTCTTACTCGCATGAATCACACCGATGACAAATCAATCCAGCCGCAAATTCCCGTACGGTAATCGCGCGAGGGTGCAATGTGCACGATGCTTTTAGAGAAAAGAAAGAAGAACTTTCTGTTACACGACGTTTTGGGAGCTGTAATAACAGAAAAAAAAGAAGAAACGTGACCTCCGTGTGTAGGGGCAGTCTGATGCGGCGATAGCGTGGCTTTAGGGCGTATTAACCAGTAGATTTTCGCGCTGATCGAGCACCAGCCACTCGTTTGATATTGCATTACACACATTTCTGCACTGCCCACCCCCGAGAAAGCCTTAGATTGCATTACACACAAGTATATTACCAATCCCGTGTGGTAATTATAGTGCGCGTTGCTAACGACCCGATTCTACCACGCACATCTCCGCACGGTCCCGAAGGCCGCCATTTTAAAGTTTAATTACGAAATTACAAACCCAACTAACAACTGTATAGAAACAAATGAAGCGACGTTATCCGTTCGTCATTCGTGCATTGTGTGATGATCAGGCGCAAACCCGTGCATGTGCACCGCCATCTCACTCACTTCGTCGTTATAGAGACGACACACAAGTTAATTAAACGCTGCGAAGGAAATCGCTATTGAAAACCAGGTGTCTAATCTACATGGCACTCGCGTCTAATCTGTCTAGCAGGCTTCCGCTGATTGGGAAGCACCGCTAGCGATTATCACAGCGATTAATTAGCGACTGCCGAAGATCTTCCGTAATTGACTCTGTCCTGCGGTCTGTTGACGGTAATCGTGTCGTGTGTCGCGTGTGTCACACGAATGACGCGTCGGCACGCGTGTCATCATGAACATCGTGTATGCTCGTTGTAACATATTATGTGCACACGTGCATATACTCATGTTACACGTCTGTATATTATAGTGTAGATATGTTACTATCATATTCATTATATATATATATATATATATATATATATATTATATTTTATGTTAGTACCTATGCGACACGAATAAACCGCGTCGTTCTAATATAGTCTAAGAGCGAGCCATTTCTTAAAAAATCCTGGAAAATGAAAGACGCAGCACCCCACACCTGTATACTTGGTCTGATACGATAACATGATAGTACTACGCCTATAGAATATTTTCTGGTATGATATACTGAGGAAACGATAGGAAATCACCATGCCAGAGACGAGTTTGTTACGTACCGAATAATTTCTTTATCGTCAAAAAACGCGGGGTATATTAATAATATTTATTATATATATTTAAAAGTTTCGCTACAAGGTAGGCATAATATATATATATATATATATATATATATATATATATATATATATATACCTTGTAGCGAAGCTTTTCCAACCATCTCCTCCTATACATAATAGCATCGGGTCTACGTTTGTGCAAGCGAGATCTAGGTTAGTAGCTGCGTGCGCAGAGGTAATTGCACAGTTTGTGTAGTTAACATCAAGAGTATATAAACACTAAATAAAACGTTCACTTGCTCTCTATAACACGTAGCATCATGTACTTTCAGTACGTAATGCAATGAAGAGCTGTGGGTGTTTTGGTAACTTCTACAAGAGAATCTGTGTGATGGTTCTATGTGAGCGTTGTAACTGTATGAATGAAGGTCACCTTAAATGTGACGAAGAACGGTTAAAGTTTATTAACGACATAAGGAACGTAAACGAAGGAGTACTATATATATTGTGACGAAGAACGGTTAAAGTTTATTAACGACATAAGGAACGTAAACGAAGGAGTACTATCCTTCGTTTACGTTCCTTATGTCGTTAATATACTTTAACCGTTCTTCGTCACATTCAAGGTGACCTTCATACAGTCTCCGAGAGACTATTATAGAGACATATATATATATCTACAATATGTCTCTACAATAGTCTCTTTGATGTAGCCTGAAAAACACTTACGCGAGTGCAGAACTTTTCCGTGACTCCCCAGACACCTGTTGTCAGTGTATTTTGAAAGTGTTAAGTGGAAAGGGGTGTCAAGTTACCGAGGAGCCTGACACCTATGATTAGGCAGTCTGTTACTATCGCTGCAGTGCTCACTACTGTATATTATATTAGCTATAGTTTTATACTACAGATTTATTCCTTTGTTAATTTTTATCTGCGCGATTTTCAATGTTTTCTTGTTTTGTTGTTCTTTGTTTTTTTGTTCGTTTTATACTAATTCCGGGGTGTGAATAATATGTGGGGAAGACAACGCACGTGTGTTTACTGCTAGTTCTGCGTGTAATACATTCAAACAACGCACTGACACCCCTGGCCTGGTAGCTATAACATGAAAAATACAAAATGTTGGTTTGTAAATAATTTGTGAAGAAGATTGAAAGGTTCTCTAGAATTCTGTTAGAATTTCCAATACCTTAATTCAGCTAGAAGTGTAATCATATTGAGCATCAGCCCTTTATGCCATATATGTCCTTTCTAGCCATTCTCAAGAGAAGATTTAAGGGGTTGATTGAATTAGATTGAGTGGCTCAACAGTCACAATTTATTCTAGCGCAGTGTTCATGTTCTTTCCATCCTTCTTCTTCTTCTTTTTCTTTTCCCTTTTCTTCTTCTTTCGTTTCTTCTCCTGCTTATTCCTCTTTGTCTTCTTCTCCTTATCTTTTTCTTGTTGTTGTTGTTCTTCTTCCACATCCTCCACCTGCTTCTTCTTCTTTTTCATCTTTGTCTTATTCTTCTTTTTCGTCTTCGTCTCCTTACAGTGGTTGGACCACTTTAATCATATAGAAGATTCTATCAGTCTGTCAGTAATGGCTGTCACTGCGAGAGTGTTTTACGTCCTTAGCTGAAGCTTACGTCTCCATAGCTGAAGACAGGACCGCTGTGGGCTGATCATCAAACCTGCACCATCACTTTCCATCGTCGCGTTCACGCTGTCGACCACGAATCGACTTCCCTTTCAAATTATAAAATAAACACGTTAATTATAAACACATTATTACACGTTAATAACACATTATAAACACATTATAAACACGTTATAAACACGTTAATAAACACATATAATTATAACGTTCTGCTCGTGACGACCAAGGTCAAGGGTCAAGACCACCACTTCCTATATCGACTGTTATTTTAGCACGTATAGTCGCGATTTCAAACTAGGTGGCCACACGCACGCACGCACGCACGCACGCACGCACGCACGCACACACAGAGACACGCGCGCGCGCACACACACACACACACACACACACACACACACACACACACACCACACACACACACACACACACACACACACACACACA